CCAATCCCCCAATCGGCCCTACCCTGAGCGTGACTGAGGGTGGCATTGCAACCTCCCGATCCGCCCTGCTCTGTGCATGACGGGGCGGCGCCCCAACTCCCCAATCGGCCCTGCTCTGAGCGTGACCAGGGGCTGCACTTAGGGATTGGGCCTGCCCTCTGCCACCCGGGAGCAGGCCTAAGCCAGCAGGTCGTTATCTCCCGAGGGGTCCCAGACTGCGAGAGGGCACAGGCCGGGCTGGGGGACCCCCCTCCTCCCCCGGTTGCACAAAGTTTTGTGCACCGGGCCTCTAGTTGTAATATATTTAAAATGGGAACTCAAGTTTCATGAAATAGATTTCCAAAGGGTATTGTAATATATTTAAAATCCCTAACAATGCCCCTGATTGGTATGTGGAATTTGGGGGGTCTTTCTCCTGCATTCTGATTTTCATTACTTTCAAAGGGCACAGATAGTGGAATCTCATTTAGCAATAAAAGCTTGACTAAGCATTCTGATGTGACATTAGTAACAGAGTATATAAAGTTGTGGTGGTAAGGACTAATCAGGTTTCCCCCCTCTAATATTAATGAAATGTGTCATTTTTTAGTCACTTTTGTGCCTCAGCTGTCTCTTTTGGTCCTGAGTTGTCAGTTGAGGATGGTTTAATTAAGAATATTTTTGCTTCACATTTCACCATTGGGTCATTAAAAATCGTAATGGAAAATAGGATAATGGAAAAAGAAAATATTTAAATTTGTTATTAATATGAGTACTTAAATATGTATCATGGGATCCAGAATACAGTGTCCTGAAAAATCTAAAACACAGGGAAAAGTATTTATTCTTCACCATCCTACATCTCATAAAGATTACATGTAACCAGAAATTAATGTATCACAAATGTATAGCGACAAATACTCCATCTTTTTCTAAGTTCACTGCTTAAGTTTAAATAATCAACCACTTTTTCTTTTTCTCACCAGGGACTTTCAAGGAACTCACTAGTGAGTTAGCAAACATTCTTATTAAAAAACAAACAAACAAAAAATCTAGGTGCAACCTGGTCTTATGGCTTCAGAGCCACTTCTTGGGCCTGAGTTTGTTTTCTTTCCAGCAGGTGCCAGAAACCCAATCTACATTCCTCATTCCTTTCTGCTAAGATTCTTGTTACCCCTGACCAAAGACAAGCTGCAGAGCGGGCACATCTCTCCCAATCTTGCTCACTCCTCTCTTCTAATTCTTGGCTGTTCCTGAAAATTAGGACAAGGGCCCTCTTCATTACAAGAGTTTTATAGCTAATCACTCTGGGAATTGCAAAAATACAATAAACTTGAGGATGTCCGAAAGCTTGGAAATTTTATGAAGTTCTTACAATCACTTTTTCCTGCATCATACTTCCTCACCACCCTGTTAGATGCTAACGGTGAACTACAGTGCATTGGATTTCTGTTTCCAGCCTTCCTAGCAGAGTCACCAAATCTGCTCATTTCTTTGCATGACATTTATGTAGATTCCTTCCTCTGAGATGGCCCTTCTCCCCTGCAATTGGTCATTTGCTTCTTTGAGGAAGTAGAGGCTGTGCAACATCCATTCCAAGGCATGGGTACCATATAGGAATCATCACCTTTGAGCAGTGACTTCTCAAAAAATTCTCACTCGAGGGCATTTCTATTGATGAGAGAGAGAGAGAGAGAGAGAGAGAGAGAGAGAGAGAGCTTAAATATGTATCCATTGGTTGCCTCCGATGGAGATGGAACCTGTAACCTGACTGGGAATTGAACCTGCAACCTTTTGATGCTGCTCCAACCAATCGACAGAGCATAAGCAGTCACTTTCTTGAGAGGATTGTTTATTCTAGCTTTTGTCAGATTTCCAAGTTTTAGTATTTCCCAGGGAAACCGAAACAGTGATTTTTAGACACAGGAGGATTCATATTTGTATTTTATTGATATTTCTTGTTGTAAACTTCATGGCTATCATTCTGCACTTAAAACCTCTTAAAGGATGGCTTTCAAAAATTTTATTTTTTGCAGGTGTTGGTTAACCTTGGCCATATTTCCATGAGAAAGGGGTCACTTAGAAAACTGAGTACCAGAGGAACTGACATAGCCTAGCCAGGAACCCACTGCTGCCAGGACTTTTGTTCGTGGGGCGTTCTCCAGGATCACCATATCCAAGCCATGACTAAAATGCAAGAAGTATCAAGAACGTACCGCTGTTCAAAACAGAAATATTTAAAAATTCAGGTACCGTTGCTATATATTAACAAGTCGGATCTGGCGTGTTATTCTACGACCTAAATTTCTTCAGCTTTGAGGTCACCCACACAAATGAGAAAATGTACAGTTAGGGAGTCGGGTTTTATCCCCACTCAGGGTCTGGTGTAGTGAGCAGCGTGAAACAGCAAGAAACACACACACACACACACTCACACACACACACACACTCACACACACAGAAGAAGAAGAAAAAAAAGAGCTTAGCATCCTGATGCTGCTTCTCCCGGCGCAAATGCAGCCCCGGCCTGGTACCCGGGCCTTGCGACCCAGGCAGGCGCTTCCCGG